TAGCTAGCCTCCCAGCATGGCTGAGTTAGAGATATGATTCTCCTGAAAGATAATTCTCTCCCTGAAGCATGCCACATAGATGTGCTGTGGTGAGAAGTAGCTTAACTACAAATTCACACCTGGCACTCAGAGTGTCTGTCTGTGTGAGTTTTGATTTGGAAGCATATCAGAAGCCATGGTGTGTTTCCTTTTTCCTAACATAAAAGACTTGTGTTTCCAGATTGGCAGGTGCACAAGGCCTCTGACTGAATATCAAACTCAGCAGCTCTGGAGGACAATTTGAGGTGCCTCCCTCCCTCCCAGGGGCCTGGTGGGGACTCAGTAACATTTTGCTTCCCAGTTTGAGTTCTGAACCTACGGAGAAAAAAAAAAAAAACAAGTAGAAAACAAAATGTCACATTCATTATTGGTACAGGTTAGGTGGAAAGATCTAACTGTATGTATTAGCAAACTGAACCGCAGTTTTAGGCACGACCCTTTCTACCCTTTGGAGGCAGTGCTGGAGGAGACCAGGCCTCCCCTTGCAGAGGCAAAGCTGGCCCCCAAGGAGCTGAGAAGAAGGTGCCCACAGCAGAGGGTCCTGTTCCCAGGAGGAAGAAGGGAGGCACTGAGCCAAACACCCAGTTTTTCTTCCCAAATTCACCAAGGAGAAAAATTCTGCCATAGGCCAGTCCTAGCCAAGGACTATTCTTTTATCTCAAAGTCTTCTTGAGGCAAATGTTTATAGAATGACAATTTTTTTCAAGAGGGACTTGTAATTACCCTATGATCTGTTCTGACATAGTAATTAAAACACCTCTCCTCCATGAGTTTACCACAAACCCAGGTTGCTTTCTGGCATTCGCACCTCCCACCCCTACAGTCACTTCTTCCGCTGATCTAACACCCAACGCCTACCCACCATCAGCTGTAGTCTGAGGGCATGCATACCATAGTGGCTTGCGTTAGCAAGCTTGAGTTAGCATTTCCTCTTCAACTGTTTAAATGATCCAGCCTGGCCCTCTATTGTCCTTACATAGACACATTCTGTTGGCAGTTTCCATATTTTTGGACTTCAATGCCATTAAGTGTCACGTGGACCCACAACAATAAATGGAAAACACAATCATCATGTTTTTTAAAAAGTCTGTTCCACTTAATGAGTCATACCATTAAGTAAATAGACAGTTTCCTTTAAATTCTTAATCAGTTACATGAGTACCAAAGAGTTCACTCTGACCCTGTGTTATGTTAAGGTTTTTTTTTTCTCTGGTTCTGTAAAACTTTTGTTCTTGGATTACACATTTTCAGGGACCTCTGCCAATTCCTCCATTTCCCCTCCGTCCTCTGAGCTGTGTGTGTGTGTGTGTGTGTGTGTGTGTGTTTTAATGTCAGCATCCTAGTCCAGCAAATAAAAGTCACCTTTCCTGTTTTCTCAGCAACTTAAATCAATTGCAGTTTCCTCCTGGGTTTCCCTGTTAGCGTTCGGTGTGCGTGCTTCACTGGTTTGTTCCATCAAGCTTCCCACTCTGTTTCGAAGGCATCTAAGTAAGGAGCATTATGTGGAAAAGAATCTGAACTTTGTGACTGTGCAGAGGTCAAGGCTTCTCCTCCAGAACCCCAGCTGCTAAGGAGGTGCAGCCTTGTGCTCCCACCATCTTCCCATAACACTCTCGGCTCTTTCCGCTGCGTACACTGCCTGTATTTTAATTACTTACTCTCTTTCTCCTTACCTGCTGTATGAATTCCTGTAAAACAAAACTCTGTCCTAGTGTTTTGATCTGTTCCGGCTGGCTCCTTCCTCCTGGTGGGAGCTCAGTGAAGGTTTGAGGAAAAGGAAAGCAAAAAGGTAAGGGAGGTCAGGAAGGAGTGCGTGGCCTCAGCACCCTTGAATATGCTAGTACTCCTTTCTAGAAAGCTGTTCCCACACATTTTCCCACAGCCAGTTTGTTCTTTCTCTGTTGTGCCCATGTCCATTCCACATTGCCCCTGAGCGTTCCTTCCTGCCTCCTCCCTAAAGGAGTCACCACACTGGCACACGTGTACACAGACCCTGAGTCACTCTCTCTCTTTGTTCCCTGTTTTACTATTTTGTGACTTTTCTTCATCTAAAATTATTTTAGCTATATGCTCATTTATTGTCTGTCTCCCTCCACTGTAATGCAGGCTCCAGGAGGTACCATAGTTTCAGTATCTTAAATAGGGCTTAGCGTGTGGTAAGTACTTAAATTTCGATTGTATGAATGAATAAATGTAGAAAGAGAGTTGATTGCCCTGTTTAATCAGCTTTAAAGTCCAGAGCCTTGGGAAGCTGCACACAGAAAAATGAAGCTGTTCTGCCTTTTGCTAACTTGACCCCTGGCTCTTCAGTGTAGATTGCAGGATTCAGAAGGTGTCTTTAGTGAGAGAACAGGTAAGGAAAGTGAGAAATAGCTCAAGCCATTTCTCCTTCAAGATGCAAAGGATGGGTGCTGTAAGGAATGTGGCGACACACAGATGCAGAGCTGTCCTAAAGATGGTTCCAGCCATACCACCAGTGAGCAATGAAGGACCAGCTGAGTTTCTGATAGGAAACAGGGAACATGGTTTGCCCAGACACCCCCAGGCATTTAAGTGGAGCAGGTGTTTATTTTAGCTATAGTGTGGCACCCACAAACAAGTGGCCCAATGAGGCCTCTCGGGGACCTGGGGTCAGCCCTGGAAAGCTGGGGCTACAGGCTGCAGTACTGTTGCTCGTCCAGCTGCACTTTGCTCATCTCTCCTTGACTCTGCCTCTGCTTTCCTGTGCACAGGAGCCAACTACGGCTGCTCATAAGGCTCAGAGGACCATTTTTTTATTCCTCGGGGAAGAATCTTGATGGGTCTACCTTGGGTCCAGTGTCCACATCCTTTCCCATCAGTTGGTCGGGGAGGAGGTGTCACATTGTATGGACACAACAGCTGGGAGGGTTCAGAGAAGGTGAAGTGCGACTAAGGGTCGCCCCAAAAAATATTTGCCACCTTTACCTTAGTCAGCAGATGTGTGTGCTCTAGACTCCGATGTTTTCTGAGAAGCAGTTTGCTGTCGTTTCCTTTCAAATGTCCAGATATTTCCCAGCTGTCTTCTCTGTCATTAACCCACACTTTCCTAGCACTGGAAGCATAAACTATAAAAGGCTGCCCTCTGAAATATGTGCTGGGTCACTAGGGCATTAAACACTTGCTTCCGGTGGTAGTATCTAAAGCAGAATCATGAGTCATTGACAGAGAAATGTTTACTGCCCTAAATTAGCCTAAAGAAGCCAAATCCTACAGAAGTCCTGTAGACAACTTTCCACTTTCCTCTTTCATCAGTTTTGAGCCCTGAGAAAACAACTCCTGGAATGTACCCTTTGAGTCCAAGCACCTCGACAAAACAAGATAGCATTTCCTGAATGCACCCAAAACACACCTTTCCGTGGGTAATTATGAGGCCAGCTCACAGAGGCTTATGTCTCTCTTGCTGACTATTTCTGACTCATTCAAATGTTTTTCTGACTGTTACGCCGAGTTGTATGTGATATAAGATGACACTAGGTGAGATAATACTTCTGGTTTTTTGAATACTTGGTATTTTTCAATTGATTTATCTTTGGACAAACTGCTCCTCTGTTGTGCGAAGCCTAGTTAATCAACTGGGATGGCGATAGGGGGTGGGGTAGGATTAAAACAAGTGGCTTCAAGGAGAGAAGCCACTCTGTGCATTAAGATAAGACTTGTCGTAACTGTTCACAGAGACATATTTCCAAAGATGATGTTTCCTTCGGAAGAAGTGGAGAAGTATTTCTACCCCAGGAAGTATAATGTAGGTGTGAGTCCCCCACTGTCCTGGCTTATGGAGAGGCTTGGGGCCAGTTCAGTCTGTTTCCATGGTACTGCTTGCCCAGTACTATTCCATGAAGACCTCTCTAGGTGACCAAGACTGCTCCTGGGGCTTTAAGTGTCCCTGTTGGAATGGGGCTTCCCACACAGCACAGGTGGGGCAGATAGCTGAGCAAAATCCTGGGCACAGCTGGCTGTCTTTGGACCTAGCTAATCATCACCGTGAGTGAAGACCATGAGCAACCATCACCACAGGCTAACAGGACATCTACTCTAGGTCCTTGGGACAAGTGGATGTCTCTAGAGGTATGAGCTGATGGGCATGGGCCGTGTTCCAGAGGGGCTGGGCCACGTCTCTCTCTGTCCTTGAGGTCTTTCTCTCTCCCAACCCCCTAGCCTGCGCAATCTTTAGTCTGGGGGGCAGAGCTCTCTTTGCAATTATGCAGCTATGCATCCAGTTCTTCCTATCTTACACCTGCACCAGTGACTTTTGAACTTAGCACTACACATTTGCCTTCTTTATTCTCTACTTCAAGAGTGACAGCCTCCCCCTAAAGCAGTGGGTGACTCATATCTAGTTTCTGGGCTGGAAGGAACATCCTCAGGGTGAAAGTGAAGAAAATCAGAGACAGCAGAGTTGGAAGGCTTATGAGGGTTGGGGGTTTGGGTGAGAATGCAGAAGTAATCCTTTCAAATATCATCCCACTCCATGTGGATCAGGCATCGCGCCCATAACATCAGGCTTGTTAATGTGGAGTTTGTGTTCTTGTTCACATGCTTTCTTGCAGAGCTGGAATGCAGGACAGACGTATGGACCTTACACGAAGGAGAAAGCAGAAAAAGAAGCTGCACTTGGCTTGGTTCAGGACAACTGGGGCTGAACTGTGGATGTCCTGCAATAGAGCTGACTGGGGAACCCAGATCTTGGGAAATGTACTGATCTTAGGCCATATGTTTTATCTTTTGAAGACCATCACACCAGACCTCACCTCCCATAGTGCAGGTTTGTCTTTTTCTTGAAGGAGTATTTCTGTCAGCCATTTCTGGGGTAAGGTGACCTAGTGCTGAGTAAAGGAGGAAAAGTAAAAGTAAGCAAATGCCTTGGCCAATTCCCTGGGATGAGTCAGGCAGAGACTCTGAGTGGAGCCTTCCTGTTTGGGGAGCCAGAGCTGTTGGTTAGGATGACCTTTGCAATGGGCAGGTGGAATGAGGACCCGTACCAGGCACGGTGAGTGCCCCCTGCCTTAGCACCCACCACTTCTTACTGACTCCAAGCCTAAGGCTCTCTCAAGCACAGAAGCTGCTCTGCTCTGCACAGGGCAGCCAGAACTCCCGGGGAGGTAACAGTCCCCAGGAGAGTGTTCAGCCTGTAACCATTTGGAGCAAGTGGATAAATATACCCAATTTCTTCAAACCTCATGTAGGACAATACTGAAGTGTGTTCTACACTAGCACTGTCTAACAGGATATAATGTGAATCACATATGCAATTTCACATTTTCTAGTAGTCACTAGCTAATCATCACCGTGAGTGAAGACCATGAGCAACCATCACCACAGGCTAACAGGACATCTACTCTAGGTCCTTGGGACAAGTGGATGTCTCTAGAGGTATGAGCTGATGGGCATGGGCCGTGTTCCAGAGGGGCTGGGCCACGTCTCTCTCTGTCCTTGAGGTCTTTCTCTCTCCCAACCCCCTAGCCTGCGCAATCTTTAGTCTGGGGGGCAGAGCTCTCTTTGCAATTATGCAGCTATGCATCCAGTTCTTCCTATCTTACACCTGCACCAGTGACTTTTGAACTTAGCACTACACATTTGCCTTCTTTATTCTCTACTTCAAGAGTGACAGCCTCCCCCTAAAGCAGTGGGTGACTCATATCTAGTTTCTGGGCTGGAAGGAACATCCTCAGGGTGAAAGTGAAGAAAATCAGAGACAGCAGAGTTGGAAGGCTTATGAGGGTTGGGGGTTTGGGTGAGAATGCAGAAGTAATCCTTTCAAATATCATCCCACTCCATGTGGATCAGGCATCGCGCCCATAACATCAGGCTTGTTAATGTGGAGTTTGTGTTCTTGTTCACATGCTTTCTTGCAGAGCTGGAATGCAGGACAGACGTATGGACCTTACACGAAGGAGAAAGCAGAAAAAGAAGCTGCACTTGGCTTGGTTCAGGACAACTGGGGCTGAACTGTGGATGTCCTGCAATAGAGCTGACTGGGGAACCCAGATCTTGGGAAATGTACTGATCTTAGGCCATATGTTTTATCTTTTGAAGACCATCACACCAGACCTCACCTCCCATAGTGCAGGTTTGTCTTTTTCTTGAAGGAGTATTTCTGTCAGCCATTTCTGGGGTAAGGTGACCTAGTGCTGAGTAAAGGAGGAAAAGTAAAAGTAAGCAAATGCCTTGGCCAATTCCCTGGGATGAGTCAGGCAGAGACTCTGAGTGGAGCCTTCCTGTTTGGGGAGCCAGAGCTGTTGGTTAGGATGACCTTTGCAATGGGCAGGTGGAATGAGGACCCGTACCAGGCACGGTGAGTGCCCCCTGCCTTAGCACCCACCACTTCTTACTGACTCCAAGCCTAAGGCTCTCTCAAGCACAGAAGCTGCTCTGCTCTGCACAGGGCAGCCAGAACTCCCGGGGAGGTAACAGTCCCCAGGAGAGTGTTCAGCCTGTAACCATTTGGAGCAAGTGGATAAATATACCCAATTTCTTCAAACCTCATGTAGGACAATACTGAAGTGTGTTCTACACTAGCACTGTCTAACAGGATATAATGTGAATCACATATGCAATTTCACATTTTCTAGTAGTCAGATTTTAAAAAAGTAAAATGAAATGGTGAAATTAGTTGTAATAATTTATTTTGCTTAACCCCATATAGTTAAAATACTGTCATGTCAAATGTAATCAATTTAAAAATTATCAATGAGATATTTTACATTCTTTTTTGTACTGATTATAATAAATACAGTATCTATTTTACATGTAGAGAATATCTTATTCTAATTAGGCACATATTAAATGCTCAGCGGCCACATGTGGCTAGTGATTACCACAGTGGCCAGCTTGCTCAAAGGTTCCCATGGAATTGAGGCTGGAAAAATGTGAGCCAGAGTCTGAAAGACAACAGACACCTGTGGGGTGTTGTGTCCCCAAACCATCAGTAAATTCCTAAGCATCACAAGGTGCCAAGTGTAATTGGATTTCTTAGGGGGAACAGAGTTGAGGTGTTGCTGCACGTCTGGGCCTGGCCATTCTGCCGGTTCTTGCAAACCCATACTCCCTGTCTCTCTACCACCACCACTTTGAGTTCAGGGCCTCATCCTTCAAGCTACCCTTCCTCCTGAGCTCCAGGCTTACTCTACTCTGTCTCCCATATTGCTGCCCTAAAATACAAATCAAATTCTGCCACTGCCTTTTTCCTAAAACAAACCTCCTGAAATTGGTAATACGCTTACCAAGGGACCCCCCCAATCATACATACAATGAGAGGCACAGTTTCATTTGTCCATACAATCATACCCAGAAAAAGCACACTCCCAAAACATGAGTGAACTGCCATTCCCATTTAAAAAGGTTTGACATACTTTGCACTGCTGTAGGATCTACCTGTAGTTGAAATAAACAGCAAAGATTCGAAGAAACTGTGGATGGTTGAAAAAATTAAACTAATTTTACTGCAACCCAAGTAACCACAAGCAGTTGGTTTTGCGGTTGTGAAGCTGGTGCCGAGCTGTGTAAAGCAGGTGAAGCCAGCCCACTGCCCAGGTGTGGAGGGGCCGCCAGCTCACCCTCCCATTCAGCAACTGAACCTGACCGAAAGCCTCCTCGGTGCACAGTGCCCACACAGAACTGTAAGACCAAGTACTGGTCCCGAGCAACAGCAAGTTTTGCTTCTGCTCTGAAGGTATGTCAACAGGGGGTGGTGCGGCCCAGAGAGAACTGGCAGCAAGGGAGGCAGCCTGGGGACTGGGTGTCCTCGAGGCAGCGTGGTAGAGGTAAGAAGCTTCACAGTGCATCATCAAGAAGAAGGTGCTGACAAGCATCGCATGTGAAGGATAACTTAATCATGACAATGTCCAAAGAATACTAAAAGTGATCACGGATAACATTTACTGCCTGCCTGGTATATGCAAGAAACTAAGCACTTTACATGCATTCAATCAATCTATGAGATAAGATGTTGCTATTTCTTACCCCTTATATATTCGTATTTCTCAACATTCCAACTTTACTCTTCTTCTCTTCACACATTTAAGGTTTTTTGGGTGAGAAACCTGGGGCACAGAGCAGTTAGGAAACTTGCCTAAACTTGAGCAGTAAGTAGTAAAGGAATGACTCAAGCCCAAGTGAAATAAGGTTGTGTGATGGTGAATATGAGATGTGAGTCAGAGACCACAAAGACAGGGGACAGGATGGGGGATAGGCAGGGAGGGTTGGGGCATGTGGGTTAGCACTAAAACCAGGAAGGGTTACAGAACACAGAATGTTCCTTTTGCTGCATCCTGGTGTGTCACAAAAGTAAGAGTGGCTGCTGAGAGGAACTATGCAGGACCAGGTGAGAATACTGGAAAACTATGCTGGCATAAGGAAGTTAAGAATGATTTTTATTTTATTTTATTGTGATAAGAACACTGTGGATAAAATGAGAGTTCCTGTGGCCAGGATTTTCACCTGGCCCTGATTGACTAGCTCACTACACACCTGTGGGCAATACATGGCTGTTGACTCTATAAAAAGCTCTGCCCAGTGCTCTGCGCACAACATGGTGGCAGGGCCGCAAGGCTGCAGGAGAACACAGCAGAGGCTGGAGTGGTGGCAGCGCCAAGGACAGAGGCCCAGAGGACAGCTGTGCGGGGACGACTGTGCAGAGAGGCCCAGAGGATGGCTGTGTGGGATGGCTGTGCGGACAGAGGGGCCCAGAGGCAGAGATTGGCTTGCTGCATGCAGACTCGCTCTGAATGAATGGGATTTTAGTGACTGACCTGCCACCTAGAAATAAAGTTGGGTATAACCCTCTCACCCCAAGAACGTTTTGCTGTCATTTTCTTTGGTCACACTGAATCCATAGCAAACTTGCCTGGGGCTGAAACCCATTGGCAAGACAAACATTTAACATGAGATATACCCTCTTAACAAATTTTTAGGTGTACAATATAGTATCGTTAACTGTAGGCAAGTGTTGCACAGCAGATGTCCAGAACCCAGCATCTTGCATAAGTGAAACTTCATAGCCATTGAATAGCTTTTATTTAATCAGTCATTTAACATGTATTTATTAAACAACCACTGTCTTAGTCCATTCTGGCTGCTATAACAAAGAACCAGTGACTTATGAGTGGGTGACTTATGTAGGGAAAATGGAAATTCCTATAACCAAGATCCTCATCTGACCCTAAACTACTTGTTGATATGACTGGTCTACTGCTAGGCTAATGCTTCCACACCCGTAGGCAATAAACTATTACTGACTGAGTCACTGTATAAAGAGCTCCACCCGCTGCTCTGGGCAGAGGAAGAGATGAAGTGAATTACGGACCTGCAGACTGCTTGACCTACCGCCCTGAAAATAAAGCCAGGTATAAACCCTTTTATCTCAAGAATGCTCCGTTGTCATTTCTTGGTCTCACTGAATCTGAAGTGAATTTGCCCCAGGCTGAAACCCTCAGGCAAGACACTTATAAGCAACAGAAATGTATTTCTCATAGTTATAGAAACTGTAAGACTATTATCAAGGTGTCCACATGGTCTGGTAAAAGCCCTCTTCCAGGAGGTCTACTGCAACCTCTCATTATATCGCCCCTTGGCAGAAAGAAGAAGAGAGCTCTCTGAGTCTCATTTACACGGTCACTACTCCCATTCATGAGGGCTTTGCTCTATGACCTAATCACTTCCCAAAGGTCCCACCTCCAAATAACATCACACTGAGGGTTAGTGTTTCAACATACGAATGTGGGGAGATACAAACATTCAGCTCATAACACCTATTATATGCCAGGCACTGTTCAAGGAGCAGCATTGAAGAAGAAGATAAAATACTGGCCTTTCTGAAGTTACAATCTAGCTGAATAATAATAGATTAATGTTAAACAATAAAAATAGTAGATCTGGTATGACCTGTTATAGCCAGCTCTTTTAAAGGCAAAACCCCAGCAGAGCTAGATTAGGACAAGTAGTGGAAAGATTAAGGAGAAAAACAAGTTCCTATCCTGCAGGCCAAGCCCCCTCCACCATCTAGCAAAGCTTCTCAAGATACAAGTGGCTCTGACAGTGTGAACATGGTCTTCTAGAAGCTTAGAATGGGAGTACCATCAAAATTACTGAGACCAACTGCCTTGCCTTCCAGGTTTCGAATTCCCTCATAGAAAGAATTGTCTTGAATATGCTTGGGATATGTCTTGAATACCTTGCAGGAAATGAAACATTATTTCTCAGTGCAACCTGTGCATAAAGTGAAGGTTCCTGTGGCCAGGATTCTCACCTGGCCCTGGTTAGCTAGCTCATTACACACGTGTGGGCAATACATTGTTATTGACTCTATATAAAGAGCTCCACTCAGTGCTCTGGGCTACATGGCTTGCAGGAGAGCAGAGGCTGGAGTGGTGGCAGCACCAAGGACAGAGAGGCCGAGAGGCAGAGACAGGCTTGCTGCATGCAGACTTCCTCTGAGTGGATGGGATTCTAGTGATTGACCAGCCACTGTGGGAATAAAGTTGGGTATAAACCCTTTCACCCCAAGAATGTTCCATGGTCATTTTTTGGTCTCATTGAATCCATAGTGAACTTACCCGAGGCTGAAACCCATTGGGAAGACAGTTATCCACAAATTAATTTTAAAAATTCCTTCTGGATCACCAGTTTTCAAATGATGCTCTGTAAAGCCCTGGGTGTTGTGAGGAAGGGCTCAGAGTTTCTGTCACCCAGCTTGGGCTGGGTGAGAAGGCAAGAGAAGAAGCTTCTCCAGGCCCACTGGGCAGGGCCTTGAGAAGCTACCCTCTTCTCAGTGGTCCCTAGGGAAGCCCTTTATCTGTTTTATCTTTTAAGCTTCAGCAAAGGATTTTAATTAAAGAAACAGTTACACAGAAAAAAGTTTGAAAACTCCTGCTCCAGATATTCATCCCTTGAAGTCATTAGAATTAATGTTGAATCAAAAAGAGCTAAGAACTAGGTGGTAAGGCACATTTTCTTGCATGTTGACAGCAATCACTAAAATTTTGGCTTTAGATGGAAAACTACCTATGAACCAACCTCACTGTTCTACATAGAGCCCTAAGATCTATGAAATGACTCTCTAAAGCTGTCAGAGAACATCCCTCTGGGTTTCACCTTTCTTTTGGATTCGGTGATACTTAGCTCTGTGCTTCTAATGATCTATTAGAATCAACTGGGAAGTTTCCAAAACTCACAGCTCCTCAAAAGTTTAAATGTTAAGTTACCATGTGACTTAGCAATTCCACTCCTAGATATATCCAAGAAAATTGAAAACACATGTTCACAGAGTAGGACAGAAATGTTGATAATTACAGTGTTATTTATAATGGCCTAAAACTGGAAGCAATCCAAATATCCACCAACTTATGAATGCATAATTAAAATGTGGCATATGTGGACAATATTGTTCAGCATAAAAAGGAATGAAGTACTGATTGCCAATGCAACATGGATTAACCTTGAACACATCATGCTAACGGAAAAAAGCTGACATGAAAGGTCATTTTACATCATTCTATTTTGTGGATAAAATGAGAGCTCCTGTGGCCAGGATTCTCACCTGGCCCTGGTTGACTAGCTCACTGCACACCTGGGGGCAATACATGGCTGTTGACTTTATATAAAGAGCTCTGCCCAGTGCTCTGTGCATGATGTGGTGGCAGGGATGCAAGGCTGCAGAAGAGCAGAGCAGAGGCCCAGAGGATGGTTATGTGGGACAACTGTGCAGAGAGGCCTGGAGGACAGCTGTGCAGACAGGGGCCCAGAAGCAGAGACTGGCTTGCTGCATACAGACTTGCTCTGAGTGAATAGGATTCTAGTGACTGACCTGCCACCTGGAAATAAAGTTGGGTATAACTCTTTCACCCCAAGAACATTTTGCTGTCGTTTTCTTTGGTCACACTGAATCCATAGCGAACTTGCCCAGAGCTGAAACCTATTGGCAAGACACATTTGTATTAAATGTCCAGAATAGGCAAATCTATAGAGATAGAAAGTAGATGAGTGATTGCCTAGGGCTAGGAAAGGTGGAAGGTGTGTGGTTGAAAGCTAATGGGTACAGTTTCTTTTAGCAATAATGAAATATTGTAAAAATGTGTGATGGCTGCACACTGTGAATACACTAAAAAGCACTGAATTGTATAGTTTCAGCAGGGGAATTGCATGGCAGATGACTTATATCTCAATAAAACTGTTAGGAAAAAGAAAAACCTACCATTGCTTAGGCTTCCGGAGATTTTTTTTTTTTTAATGAATCTGTGGTAGGACTTGGGTATCTGCTTCCAAGTGATTCTAATAAGCAGCCCAGACTGAGAATCACTGATTCTAACCATGGCTCATGGGAAGCCCAGTGACTGATTCTGAGGGGGCCACTGCCACCTCTTGGGGTCACCTCACTCCTGCACTCCAGGCATTCGTGGGCTACTCCTTTAATGTTCCTTCCTGGAATTAGGCCTGTGATTAAGCCCAACCTGGAATTTGCAAGTACCACCTCTTCCTCCTTATAGAACTTATATTATTTAACTGGTTGCCACAATGTCACCTGGATCTTCAGCAGGAGCAGGCATTCTTGTTTACAAGGGTTTCTGACAGAGACACAAACCTCCGGACTCATTGAAGCTGTTTTGTTACCATCTCTTGATTCACCAGAGGAGAGTCCATAGTGTAGAAACTCACCACATACCAGGAAATCTAACT